GGACGGCGCGGCATGCCCAGTTATGATCTTCGGCAAGCCCTACGATCCCGAGACCACGACGTCCCTGTGAGTTCCCCCCGCGTCCCCGACGCCCGGCGCGCCGCGCGACCGACCTTCGGATTCGTAGGGACCTCGAGAACGGGATCACCGGCTCGATCCCGCCCGAGATCGGTCAGCTCACGGCGCTGACGTCCCTGCGAGTTCCCCCCGCGTCCCCCGACGCCCGGCGCGGCGCGCGACCGCCCCTCGGCGTCGCAGGTACCTCAGCGACGGGATCACCGGCTCGATCCCGCCCGAGATCGGTCAGCTCACGGCGCTGGCGTCCCTGCGAGTTCCCCCCGCGTCCCCCGACGCCCGGCGCGGCGCGCGACCGCCCCTCGGCGTCGCAGGTACCTCAACAGCAACCAGATCGACGGCCCGATCCCGACCGAGATCGGCCAGCTCACGGCGCTGACGGACCTGCGAGTCCCCCCGCGTCCCCGACGGCCGGCGCGGCGCGCGACCGCCCCTCGGCGTCGCAGGTACCTCGGCTGGAACAAGATCAACGGCCCGATCCCGCCCGAGATCGGTCAGCTCACGGCGCTGGCGTCCCTGCGAGTTCCCCCCGCGTCCCCCGACGCCCGGCGCGGCGCGCGACCGCCCCTCGGCGTCGCAGGTACCTCAACAGCAACCGGATCGACGGCCCGCTCCCGACCGAGTCCGGCCTGCTCACGGCGCTGACGTCACTGCGAGTTCCCCCCGCGTCCCCGACGCCCGGCGCGCCGCGCGACCGCCCCTCGACGTCGCAGGATCATCGTCAACAACGAGATCACCGGCACGTTCCCGACCGAGATCGGCCAGCTCACGGCGCTGTGGGTCCTGCGAGTCCCCCCCGCGTCCCCGACGCCCGGCGCGCCGCGCGACCGCCCCTAGGCATCGCAGGTACCTCAACGACAACAAGATCGACGGCCCGATCCCGACCGAGTTCGGCCAGCTCTCGGCGCTGACGTCCCTGCGAGTTCCCCCCGCGTCCCCGACGCCCGGCGCGCCGCGCGACCGCCCCTTGACGTCGCAGGTCCCTCGGCTACAACAAGATCACCGGCACGTTCCCGCCCGCCCTCTGCTACGTCGCGACTTGCCAGGCCGCTGGCAACCCCGATCTCGTCGCGCCGTGCGGCTCGACGGGCTGCTGCGATCTCAGGGACGGCGCGGTGTGCGCTTCCGAGACCGCGCCCAAGCCCGCGCCCGCGCCCACGCTTTCCAGTCAGTGCTCCCAAGCGTGCGAAGCAAAGTTCCTGCAAAAATGCGGAGGGCCCCATTACTGGTGCGAGCGGAACGAGAACTGGCGCTGCTTCGATGATCTTTACCGCGGCCACTCGATGTTCGAAGGCCAGTGCGAGATCGCATGCACGCCGACGGCCGCCATGATTCAGCCGACGTGCGATGCCTCGTGTCAGGGCACTTTCCCCGCGGGCTCGGACGTGCCCGACTCATCGCGGCCCTTGTGCTGCTCCCAAGCGTGCGAAGCAAAGTTCCTGCAAAAATGCGGAGGATCCCATTACTGGTGCGAGCGGAACGAGAACTGGCGCTGCTTCGATGATCTTAACCGCGGCCACTCGATGTTCGAAGGCCAGTGCGAGATTGCATGCACGCCGACGGCCGACATGATTCAGCCGACATGCGATGCTTCGTGTCAGGGCACTTT